TTGTACATATATGCATTCACACAGAACTGTATATTGTCTTTCTAAACCCCTCTGGGATCGAACTTTTCAAGAATCGCGTCTTCGTCCTCCGATGCTGCTACCTTTCTGCCCCTTTACACTTGCTTTCCCGCCGATGAGTTGGCTTTATGTACACATTCCGAGTGTTGAGAACGGCAGCTGATCAGCTGTCTACCCCTTAAGCTTCTCCTTCGCTCTTGAATCTTTTCTTTGCCTTTTTTCTCCTAGACGACATCATAGCTGCGACAAGGTTACTGCTATGAATATACTGTTGCTTGCATGGTTTTCTTTTTCCACCCGAATAGCTGCTTATCCGTGGGATCGAAGGCCAATTATCCTGCCTTACTATCGGGATTCCGCGAACGTCTCGACTGACAATGTTCCTCGAGGCCGCAATGAACATTTGTCTCGAAGGCAATCAACCTCTGCCGAATAACTGCGTAGTGCCGTACTGTGCAGTACTACTAGAAATGGTGTGATCTTATGCGAGAGTGGTCTCACCGTACTGCCAATACCGATGGAACCGTAAGATAAGGCACGTGTTTGGCTGACGTTCCCGCTGTTGCATAAGGTGCCTGCTATGGTTACAGGCCCTAACAGCATTTCTCTGTGCTGTCTGGCTGGTGAGCCCCAGATACATGTAAAAGAAGTGCTTTTCCAGGCTACTAAGGCAAGGGCTTGGACATTAATGCCCGAAGCATGAGTACCTAGGGTCGACCCCAAGGTTGCGGTGGTGTGTGAGTCTGTACGAAGCCGTGTGAACCGCCGTTTGTTTCCCGCCTTTATTTTCTTCCAAGGTTTTCTTGACTGTGCACTCTGCAGTTCGAGCATTCAACTGTCTGTTACTCGTCGAAAGTAACGGAAGAAGATCTAGCCATGTAGTTAAGGACTTGTGACTTCTGTCATCGGAACGGGTTCAGGCTTTTCCCGCCCACAGCATTCCGAACTGATGCTGCTCATGCTTTGGCCTCGAAGCGTGCACTCACAGTAACCCACGCCCATCCAATATTCGGAAGGCCGTCGGGCCATCAATTTTGCCGTGCCATATCTTTACCTTTTCTCCCGATTGACGGACACAATGTTGACTACGCCGTCTGTTTGGACGAGTTAGAAGATATGACCTGGCTGACTTAATGCCTCAGACGACGATCCCACTGTTGCCAACACGGGGTGCGCGTGTGCCGCTCAGTCAGAAATACTTTTGTTGGATCTGCCGGCCAGCCCACCTTTAATTGCCCTTGACAAGCATGGCTTTAAGCGTTATCCGTCACGAAGCTGCCACATGCTCTGCCGAAGATGGCTGCCTATGTAGCGTTCTGCTTCTACCTAGCCCTTTGTCGACCACACGGAAGCATATGAGTGATCGAGGATTGACTGAAGCTCCTATGGGTGGGGATCCCATCGTGCCCCTGAACAGCTGCTTCGTCCTCGCTGCACTCAAATTTAGTCATCGGTCTTTGGCCAGCATGTGCTGATCGCGCTCCCTCGAGGGCAATTTGATGCTGGCCATTGTCCTCGGCGTAGTGAAGGAGTTATCAGCAGGTAGGCCCGCTAATTTTTGTGGATACCTGCAGTAAGGACGGTAATTTACACGCAGGCACGGGACGCAGCGCTCACTCCTCCCCCCCCCCCAATCCAGCGTCAGAACTTCCGTTTCGCGTGAATTTTCAGCGCTATCACTTGTTTCCTTGCTGGCGTCACCTCTGACACCGGACTCCTGTACGAGTTTGATGGCCCAGAAAAGTAGACAAAGGATGTTCTGATGCTCGAACGAGCGTCCAAGACCCGAAAATTCACCTCCTCGTTAAGTCCCAGTGTGCCTCGGTTAGGTTCTCAAGCAAAGCTGTTTTCCGTGCATTTTCAGTGCACAACTACTTCCCTACCTTGCAACTTCACCCAGCGAGCGGTTAACTTTCTGACGCTAATTCTATTCGGCTCAAATGGTGCAAAAAGTGGTAGATCCTGTCACGACAATTCGAATGTCGTCTTCGACAGCGCCCACGATGTGCTCCGCAGCAGGGACGGTGACTTTCGCGGCTTGCGTAGCGTCTATCTCACCCTCCTCAACTGGACCTGCTGTCATGACAGATTGGAGAAGGCCGAAGAGGATTCAGGTGGCTGGCACGACGAAATGACCGCAGCTAAGGGCTTGCTTCCACACCGGCTCGGATCTCACTGAGTGGGAGGGCCATAGAGGTCACAGTAAGAAGGCGCCATTGCAGCCTGACTCTCAGTTCACCGGTCCGCCACTCCAAACAAATGCTCACTGGGCCGACTGCAAGGTCCGAGCTATCACTTCAACTTGCAGCCTTCCAAGCCACGGATTTAAGCGCACCATGACAGATTCGAATGCGTCAGATTGTCTGCAGAGAGGGAAGTGTGCTGAGGCCGTCTATCTATTTTCCCGGTGGGCGCAGTGGCTGACAGCCGGAGAGTCCGTCTGCACGCCCCACGTGCACGACCTGACCCTTAAGGCGCACACTAGGATTCTACACGAACGGGGGTAGGTAACTCTGATCTGGCGTGAGAGTGCCATTAAGAAGGAGCTATCGCAGTCTCTCAGTTTAGCAGTCGACCACTCAACACAGTCTGATATTTAGGTAGGGACCATTTTCTTCGTGTTGATTTTCAGTCCGAACTTGACGCAACCGGAAACTAAGAGATCCAGACTACGCTGTATGTCTCTCTGTCACGGCGCTGAGTACGCAATCGGCCGCGAAGAACATATCTTAAACAGTAGCCGTGAATAGACACGTTGGGACCTGTATTCGCCGGCTATTGAGAAGTTGGCCATCGGTCCTGTAGGTGATGGAGATCCCGGGGTGCCCACCACTGCAGGCTTTCGTCGACATGGTAGAGTACGCGAGACTGAAGAGGGTGAGAGCGGGCACGTAGCCCTGCTTCACTCCGTTGGCTATTGAGGATGCTTCAGAGACTGTCTCGTCCATGGCGCGCGCGCTATCACCTGTCTTGCCTGGATTGCTCAGATCATCCGAACTTTTGCTTTCTTCAAATCGACAAAGGTGGTGTTAGAGCGGGTCTTCATCGCCCGGTGTTTCTCCTGTAGCTGGCGGGCGACGAATATCATCCGGTGGTACCGCAATATCGTCGGAAACTGTACTGGCTTTCCGGTAGGAGTTCTTATTCTAGACGACCGTTGAGCCGGTTGAGGTGACGGCGAACGAAGGTCTTCCCGCTGATGTTAAGCTATGAGAGTCCTTTGTGGTTATCACAGAGTTACCGCTTCCTTCTCCCTTGTAATGATGGCCGATTATTGCGTCCTTGAAATCCTGAGGAACCTATTCTTAGCCTCACATCTCCTGGAATAGTGACCCCGTACTTGTAAATTTCAGCCGGAATCGCAACGGAGTCTGGTTCTTTCCTGTAGGAGAGTTGTTGCACGGCGTGAATGGTTTCTGGGAAGACGGGAGATCCAGGGCGACGTTGATTTCCGCTTTGGGGAGCCGGCCGATGTTGGCCTCGGAGATTGTGAAGGGATGGTTGAGTACTGGGCCCGGCGCTGCAGAATCTGCGACTTCTCAGTCAGAAGCGTTGACCCATTGAGGCCAAAAAGCGTCCCGGTTCCCTTTGTTAGGGAACCGTAAATCGCCTTGATCACAGCGAAGAAGTTTTTCGTTTTATCCCGGTCGGCATATCCCTGAACTTCGGCATTACGAGTCATCCAGACGTTGCGCACAAGGTGGCGACATCTCTGAACAGCCACTTTATTCGCATCGATCGGGTGGTCAATGGGGATCCTGTAGCCTGTTTGTAAAGGCGAGCAGTTTGCTGATGCCTGCATGGTTGTCGTCAAGCCAGTCCTTGTGTTGACGACGCATCCGCTCGAGGATAACCAGGACGATGGTATGGATAACGTCCCGCATCTGACACCAGCGAGTCTCCTCTGAGGCTTTTTTCATTGGGAACTTGTGAATCTTCCAGTCGCTGGGTCAGTTGATTGCTGAAGTCGAAGTTGTGGGCAGGCAGGTTCAACAGAAGAGTATTGAAGTTACCTGGTGGTCGCTTACCTGGTGGCTTCCTGCGTGGTGGCAGTCGCTGCCTTATAGTTGAGGTGAAAAGACCGTGGTTGATCCGGCCTTCGGCGCCCCAGCCGCATTTGTCACCAATACTTCCTGTCGATCTCGCCTCCGAAGCAGAACGTAGTTCAGCAGCTGTCAGTGCCGCAATGGAGGATGCATGCAGGTTGCATTTTACCGCACCGGAAGACAGAAGAAAAGGCTGACGAAAAGAACGTGGTGTTCTTCACAGGTTTAGAATAGGAAGTGGCATTTATTGTTGCAGCCACCAACACCATAGGCACTCAGTACTCCATTTCAGGCAGCATGACAAATATATATACATTTGGAAATATGTAAGATTATTTGAAAACAAAATAACCTTCATTGCGTAAATTTTCGAGATGGTTCTCCAGCTCGTCGTCAGACTTCTGGGCTACTTTGTTTCCAAAGAATCTAACTTATTTCCAATTAAATTTCTTGGGATGCCCGTTTTCGAGTGCATATATATATGCACTTGCAAAAGTGTGGCGGGCACTACCGTATATCGAGAACCTATCCGAAGCAGTCGCTCGTCTCTCACAACCACTGGGAATCAGCGTTGCCCACAGACTTGAGGCGACAATAAGACTTCTCATCATGAGACCCAAGGCCCCTCTGTCACGAGACGAAACAGCGAATGTCGTCTACCGTGTCCTGTGCAGTTCCTGTGAGGTAAACTACGTTGGAGAGACCGGAAAACGACTACAGACACGCATGAGCGAGCACGAAAGGGCAGTGAGGAGAATGGACCAGCTCTCGCCGGTGGCGGAACACTGTGCCACCTCTGAACAATTTTTTGCCTTCCAGAACGCCGAAAACCTAGGTCGAGGTACCGAGCAGACAGCCAGGCAAACGCTCGAAGCCTGACACACCGTACCAACTCCCATCAACTGCTGTACAATTCTTCTGGTGGCTTAACAGGCCTTACGAGTGCGGCTCAATCAACGGAATCGAAGGTAGGATGTCAGGAACACAAACCGAAGTGAACACAGTTCTCGCCCTTGACACGAGCAACGGCTCAGAACCCCCTGACGCGCAGACGCAAACGGGGACATAACGAGAAACACGAGTCAGGCACAACAAATGCGGGCTATGCAGACGAGGTCAGTAACCGTTTCCATCCCAACACAGCTGCCCGACGAGGAGAGGGAGAAAAGTACCGACCAGCATGGCAGCGATTAACTTGCCCCTCCCCCTCATCACATCCTGCACGGCAGCACGTCGGCATGCTCAGCACCCATAAATACTGTGAGGCGCAGTACAGAACGTACCTCTAACGATGGATGCTTTTTTTGCTTTTGAACCGTCTGGCTGTTAAAAACCTGCTGCTCCCGAAATCGCCTCTTCTTTTCATTTATCCCCCGGGACCCGCATTTTCGCTTCAGTTAGCAAAATATGTACTTATATAGGTGATCATGTGTTGAACAATAATATAGTTTGTATATTGAATGCAAGATGCGCCTAGTTGGATAGCTGCGTGTCCGTTGCATCAAGACCAAATAATCAATGCATGGAGGTCCAATCAACACCTGCCACTCACTCCTTAAATGCCCCCACTGCATCCGCACGTTCAGACACCACATGAACCAAGTTGGTCATGTGCGTACACAACAACGGTCAGTAAAACATTACCCAGCGTTCCTGCTCATACCTTCCCCATAGATGCAGTCATTGTGTGCACCTCTCTGTTCAAAGGTGTGCACATAAAGCCATCCGTCAGTCATGCATCAGCTGTACGTGCGAAGACTTCCGGTGTCGTTACGGGCGGACCAGCTATCGTGAGTGCTTATGCGCGCGCGACGATCGAGGAATTTACGCCACACCGGACACTTCGCCCAATCTGACTAGGTTCTGACAATACCTAAGTACTCGGGGATGGAAGAGAGAGCGTAAGATTAAATAGGGGAGCCATCCCTCAGGGAAATCAGCACAATTCAAACAAAAATACATTTGACGCACTGGTGGACATCTGACGTACAGTGAGAATCACTCCCATCCCTAAAAAAACCGCTAATTTTGGTCATAAATCTTTTCGTCCGCTACTCCACACTACTAACGCTTGCTGAAAGAGTTGCCCTAGATATTATAAAGCCCTTTTCTTGCAGTTTTTCCGACCCTTTACAATTTGCATACAAAGCCAAACGCAGTACTTTAGATGCTGTTGCACTTCTGGCCCTTTATGATCTAAAGGAGTTAGACAAGAGTTGTCGCGAGTACGCATGCACCTTTCTTGATTACTCCTCCGCCTTCAATACCGTCCCGCGCCCTCTTCTCCTTTCCAAAACCTCCGCGTGTGCCTCTCCAGGCTGGGTCGTCTCTTGGCTTAGCGATTATTTTACTTCCTGCACTCAATTTGTCCAATCTAGCAAACGGAAATCTTTGGTCCTTCCCAATGAATGCGGAGTTCTTCAAGGTTCCATTCTGTCCCCTCACCTTTTCTCCCTCCACACTGACGATCTAAGGTCTCCTTATGACTGTCTTTTGGTCAAGTATGCTGATGATGTGGTTGTTGGACATCCTCTCAGGACTCAGACACACTTCCAGTCTCTAAAAGATGGCGTAAACCATGTCCTAGTATGGTCGGAGGAAAGTGGTCTCCTAATGAACAACCAAAAATCAGTTCAGTGTATTTTCCGACTGCGGCCCTCTCCTAGTCCTGAATCCTCTGACATTCTTCCTAACGAGGTATCCTCTTTCAGGTATCTTGGCGTTAAGTTGTCATCAAATCTCTCATTTTCCCTCCATATTGAGTCCCTATTTACTTAAGTTCGTGGACTTCTTTATTACATTTGTCGTGTACGTTCCTACCACATACCTCAACCCTTAGTCTGGCGATTCATCGATGACTGCATTCTTCCTCTTATCATATACTGCTCTCCTGTCATTTTTCCAGCTTTGCTCAAAAAATATCTTTTAATTTTGAAACGAGTCCTCCGAATGCTTTGTTCTACCTCTGGTGTTTCTTATCGTTTCTTAGTCGGTATTATCCTACAACGAAATTTAAATACGGTCAAGCAATTTGCCGGTCGGATTATAGATGACGTTGCCCATTCCTTGCATACTTATCTTATTCCCGCCCGATAAGACGCGGCTTCCGACTCATATCTTGTCACAAATCGGCTTTTAGAGCTTCTGTATTGCCATTCCTGGCGCGCTATCTTACGCGTGGAAGGATAGAAATACAGAAGCTAAGACTTGAACTGTCCTCATAATAATCGTTACTTTTGTGTTAAACTTTTTTGAGTCTGGAATTATCTATTAATTTATTTGCTGCCTATAGTGAATGAAGCCAACATTTGCTGAAAATTTTGAATTTATAATTTCAAAATAAAGCGAATTCCCCTCCCTCTCTCTGACGGAATGATTCGGTCCTCTATTTTAACGGTGGCCAGACAGCAAGAACTTCTTCACACGGTAGCCTTCGCTGGCAACTCCCGATTCTGTGAGCCCCGAACACGTCGATTGTTAGCTTTAAATTATCCCGAGTTGTTAACAATCAAGGTTTTTCAGGAAGCTCGCCAAATGACGGAACAACTCCGTCCTACCCAGAAATGAGAGCCGGACACAAATGACTCCTTCTCAATGCCGCACTCATGCCGGTTTAATTCACGCCAGACCCGAGTCAGCCTTCCAAAATCAAACCCAGTGCCTTTGGAGTTACTGACCAGGTGGCGTTTGGCGGGCATAGATGAATATTTTAGTTTTGTCGGACACTGTATTCACGCAGAACTCCAATCGCCTTGGCATTGTCTGGCCACCGGTAAGCCATGGGTTTGGAAACATTCAGTGCGAAGTAGATGCTGTACAACCTCCATTCACAACTAATAGATGGACGCGTAAGTCACACTGTGTCCCACCCGCGCCGCGAGGTCGGACCTCCCCGCCCGCGACAATCGATCACCCACATCGGCCAATAAACGTTCAGAAAGGTAACTTTGTCCTCGAAAGCCTCAACAGGGAGTTCTGCTTCCGAACATAACAAGCAGGGACACTACCACCGTCTGTACTAGGTAAACGCTCCAAAGTACATGCATCCTACCGATAGCACTTAACTGGAACTCCTTAAATTTCTACATGATGAGCCCTAGATTGGGTTTCAGAGTGAAGCGTGACGCTCATTGTGCGAAATACGCTTATCGATATAGTATGCATCAGCGATCATAATAGATGAACTGATGTCCAGCCTTTTTCTCCAAAAGTAAAGGTATTTGGTAATCAGGGCCGAAAAACAGAAATACGCGCGACACCACATCACGCAGGTTAGTATGACAGTGACATGGCTACCTTCCAAGAAGAAGCTTCTCAGGCACTCTTTACTCCCTCATTTTATATGATAATTCGCAGTTTTAATTTTGATTAGATATGATTGCCGAAGATTTCATCTGCTCTTTCCTTTTCGTAGGTACTTTGACCAGGTTAAAACTTCGTGTTCCAGAGACTCCCATATTTGTGCATTTTAGCAGTGATAACACGCATCGAGAGTTCGACAACATCTGACCCTCTGCTGACAATGTTCGTTCAGTACAAGGCAGAAACATGGGCTGTACTCCTGTCACGCAGACCGGACATGCAACCTTCAGACGGCTGCAGTCGCGACAAGTCTGCGAATCGGACACTCGATCCCGTGACACCGACACGCCGCTCCTATGGCCGGTCACTTCAAGGTCACTTGAAAAACCCGAACTTCGTGTTTCCGCCTTGACTACAAATAGCAGTCCTGGCGGTTGTCTTCCACTATTACTCTCAGCCCGTCCGCGCTGGTACGGACGGAGAATCCAGTCACACATCACTGGATAGTGCGCGCAGCAAACTGGCTATCAAATCAGTAGCAATTTCACGTTAGTCAAGTGATTTCAACCCGTGTGTAAAACCGCGACGTCACGCATCTGCTGGATTGCAGATGATGCAGAGATTTTGGTGGGTATACAGCAAGTCATGTGTAGACAGCATCGAGCACTTGATGTAGCCAGTGGTCGCAAATCAGAACTTGTTTCAACTTGCCTTTCATCTGATCTCCAGCTCAGACCCGCCGTCGAGGATGACCCTCCGCTCATTGAGTGTGAGGCTGAACCACGTCTGTCAGTCTATTTAACTAAGCGTGTTTGATGTGCTAACGTTCGAGTCCGCGCCCCAATACTTACTCGGAAGGCTGTTTTTTGGGTCAACAGAGTTGGCGTATTCGAGGAGGTGTTTAGTGCTAGCAGGACGTCCATCAACCCTGCCGTCGTCAGTTCCCTCTCATGTCACCCTGAGCTACTTGCCGCCTTGAGAGGGTAGGTGCATCTGCGAATGGTCTTGTTACACTAGTAAAGAGCAACTCTGAATCGAAGGTACATTTTGATCCATCAACGGTCCTCTTGCCATTGCGCACCGCCTTGGTTTGTGTTTACAAATTGACATGCACCTGTGGATGCAAGTACAATGCACGAACTCAAATTAGTTGGCAACTAAATCGCTTGACTCTTAAATTCGGCAAACAAAATCTCCCGTTCTGCTAACACCAAACACCTCCTTGAATACGCCAACTCTGTTGACCCAAAAAACAGCCTTCCGAGTAAGTATTCCGGCCCGAACTCAAACATTAACACATTTCAAACACGCTTAGTTAAATAGGCTGACAGACGTGGTTCAGCCTCACACTCAATGAGCGGAGGGCTATCCTCGACGGTGGGTCTGAACTGGAGACCATATGAAAGGCAAGTTGAAACAAGTCCTGATTTGCGACCACTGGCTACACCAGGCGCTCGATGCTGTCTACACATGGCTTGCTGTATACCCACCAAAATCTCTGCATCATCTGCAATCCAGCAGATGCGTGACGTCGCGGTTTTACACACGGGTTGAAATCATTTGACTAACGTGAAATTGCTACTGATTTGATAGCCAGTTTGCTGGGCCCACTATCCCTTGATGTGTGACTGGATTCTCCGTCCGTGCCAGCGCGGACGGACTGAGAGTAATAGTGGAAGACAACCGCTAAGACTGCTATTTGTAGTCAAGGCGGAAGCACGAAGTTTGGGTTTATCAGGTGACCTTGAAGTGACCGGCCATAGGAGCGGCGTGTCGGTGTCACGGGACGGAGTGTCCGATTCGCAGACTTGTCGCGACTGCAGCCGTCTGAAGGTTACATGTCCGGTCTGCGTGACAGGAGTACAGCCCGTGTGTCTGCCTTGTAGTGAACGAACATTGTCAGCAGAGGGTCAGATGTTGTCGAACTCTCGATGCGTGTTATCACTGCTAAAATGCACAAATATGGGAGTCTCTGGAACACGAAGTTTTAAGCTGGTCAAAGTTCCTACGAAACGGGAAGAGCAGATGAAATCTTCGCAAGGCATATCTAATCAAAATAAAAACTGCAAATTATCATGTAAAATGAGGGAGTAAAGAATGCATATGTAGATGGTGCCTGTGAAACTTCTCCATGTCACTGTCATACTAACCCGCGTGATGTGGTATTGCGCGTATTTCTGTTTTCCCCTCCTAATTACCAAATGCCTTTACTTTTGGAGAAAAAGCCTGAAAATCAGTTTATTTATTATGATCACTGATGCATACTATATTTATGAGTGTATCTCGCACAATGAGCGTCACGCTTCACTTTGAAACCCAATCTAGGGCTCATCATGTAGAAATTTAAGGAGTTCCAGTTAAGTGTTATCGGTAGGATGCAGGTATTTTGGAGAGTGTACCTAGCACAGGCGGTTTTAGTGTCCCTGCCTGTTATGTTCGGAAGCAGAACTCCCTGTTGAGGCTGTCGAGGACAAAGTTTCATATCTGGACGTTTATTGGCTGATGTGGACAAGCAATTGTCGCGGGCGGGGAGTGGGGGGTCCGACCTCGCGGCGCGAGTTGGACACAGTTTGACCTACGCGTGCATCTGGTAGTGGTGAAGGGAGGTTGTACTGCGTCTACTTCGCACTGAATGTTTCCAAACCCAGGGCTTTCCGGCGACCAGACAATGCCAAGACGATTGGAGGTCTGCGGGAATGCAGTGTCCGACAAAACTAAACTATCAGTCAATGCCTGCCAAACGCGACCTGGTCAGTAATTGCAAACGCACTGCGTTTGATTTTGGAAGGCTGACTCGGGTCTGGCGTGAATGGGACCGGCATGAGTGCGGCATTGAGTTGGAGTCATTTGAGTCTGGCTGTCATTTCTGGGTAGGACGGAGTTGTTCCGTCATTTGGCGAGCTTCCTGAAAAAAATCTGATTGTTAGCATCTCGGGATACTTTATTTGTGTGCAGTGTCGCACTCAGGAACTGGCTCGACCTGAGTTTCTCTTCCCTTCTCCTGTGCAGCGTGTTTGAACGAGGTGATGCGGCCAGGATTTTAATAATTTACCGTGACCAGCATGATATGGCAAAATTTGGAGGATTCATATGCCCCTCGTTAGCCATTTCATCAAACTAACACTTGTTAATGCTGATTTAGACTCTTGAGGCGAGTTTTTTACCATTTCTCATGACTATTTGTGCCTTCCTTCAAACGACACTTCTCTAATACCTTGTGCGTACTCACCTGTATATGTGGCAACAAAAGATGAACACCTTAGAATGGTCCATGGGCCAGCAACTGACGGGCCGGGTAGCGTCTCGCCTTTTATCCTTAAATCCTGCTGTTCTCAGGCGGCCTCTGTCTTGACACACCTTCTTAACATGTCCTTCTCGGAGCCCAAGATTCCTGACGTTGGGCGCACAGTACGAATCGCTTCTCTCCCTAAAATATCCACTAGTTTGCTCCGAAATCTTTTCGTCCACTTGCTAGCTCTTCCGCAATTCTGAAGCTTGCTAAACGAATTGTCTTGGATATTATAAAGCCATCCGCTTCCAATTTTTCCGATCCTTTACAAGTTGCATATTAGGCCAAGTGTAGCGCCCTAGAGGCTGTTACTCTTGTGGTCCAGTCAGTATTGAGAAATCTAGATAAATGTTGCCGTGCGTACGCATGAGCTTTTCTCGACTACTCCTCCGCCTTTAATACTGTTCCGCGTTCTCCACTCCTTACCAAAACATCCGCGTGCGGCTCTCTGCAGGCCAGGTTGTCTCGGCTCGGCGATTGCATTTCTTCCCGCACTCAGTTTGTCCAAACCGGCAAGCGGAAATCTACGGTCATTTCCAATGATTGTAGAGTTATCCAAGGCAATATTTTGTCTTCTCACCTCTTCTTCCTACACACTGATGATCTGAGATCCTCAAACTTTTGCCTGTTTGTTAAGTATGTTGATGATGTCGTTGTTGGCCAGCCTCTCAAAAATCAGACACATCTCCAGTCTCTAAAGTTTGGCCTCGACCACGTCTTATCATGGTCGTTGGGGATTGTTCTCCTACTGAATAATCAGAAATCAGTCCAATGTACTTTCCAAATGTGACCCCCCTCCTAGTTCTGAATCCTTGGACACCCCTCCCAACGAGTTATCTTCTTTCAGGTACCTTGGTGTTACTTTGTCATCAAATCTTTCACTTTCGTTTCGTATTGACACCCTCTTTAACTAATGTTTGCAATCTTACCTCATATATGCCTCTCATTCTTCGTTGTTCTCCTGTCATTTTGCCTGCTTTACTTAAAAAATTTATGCTAACTTAAAAACGAGTCCTACGAGTGTTCTCTTCAGCTGCCGGTTTTCATTTGATCTTCTTAGTCGACGTAACCATACAACGCATTCCTCTCTCTCCCCCTCTCTCTCTGGTAGTTTTCATGTTTCGCTTTTTTTCGAAGTCCTACTCGATTTAGGATTTAAATGAGTGGGCTAAGTAAAACGATCGGTGAGCACCCCCCTACTACTGTACATTTCCGATTGCAACGACAGAACAATGAGCCCGTGGCTCAGTGATTAGGGGTGTTGAATTTCTAGCTAACAGGTCGCGAGATCGAGTCCCAGGTGTTCCACACTTCGGGCAGTGAAAAGAATTTCTGCGTCACGATTTCTCCATTTGAGGAGAAGCCTCAGCGTTGCGTCTGACGCCTGAGGCAGTTCTTTACAAAACTGATCGGATATCCGTTAGATCAAAACAACCAATACAGATAAGTTGGATCTTTCTTCAGGAGATCGTCATTGCTGCAATAGTGATAGATCCGGCGGAAATGAGTTCGGATGTAGCTTCTTTTTTGAGTCGCAGGGTGACTGCTCCCATAATTGAGGATAATCTCAGAATCGAATCTTTTTTCTGTGGACGCTTGTTGCGAGACCACCATCGACGAACCTTTGTATTCTCTCGACCAAAAACGTAGGCTGTCTTCTACTGCCTACGGGTAAATTGCATGGCTGGAAGGACATCATTCAGCCTCTGATGCTGCCATTCGATTTTGCAGTTCTTTACTACGATAGAGGTGTCATTGACCTAACGAAGCTACATTTTGGGCTTGAGAGTTTGAAAAACATCCTCTTCTAGTCGGTATAATACTAGTTCGGCGAGTAGTCCTGATATTGAAGAGCCCATTGGTATTCTTTCACCTGTTGGTAGCATTTATATATAACTTTCGGCCCAAGGGAAACGAGTTGCCCGTCGGCCTACAGCTTTCCGTGTCACGATCTTTCGCGCCGAAGTGACGGACTGGCCGGGATCGACTTCACTACAGTGAGTGACCGATCTCATGAAATCTTGGCTGAACTTTTGAAATGCCTTTTCGATTAAGAGAGATTACTTGGGGGCGGTTGTAATAATGATTAACTTGCGGCATAATCCTATACTATTTCGGACTCGGCAGGATGTCATCTTTAAAATACACTTCTTCTTAATCTCCTGTAAAGACCGCACTCGATACAAAATGACTATTTAAGTAGCAAGCAATTTTCCCATTGATTTTCGATGGTCTTGGAAATTCAAATATATTATATAGAAACCATAAAAAATATTTTTTTCCTCTAGTCAATCAACAGAGAATCACGTCTTCTCTATATTTTATACTAAAGTAAGGAGTATAATTAGGCTTTGAAATAGTTTTCTAATTGCCAAATAATTTGGGGCCTGATCATTTGTTGCAGTAGTGCTTATCGATTTCAGTCTACAAGGTGTATGCGTTCCGCGTAAAAAAATAACATATTTTTTTAAGCCTTTATAAAGATATCATACAGAGTCCATTACATTTTTCAATGGATGCGGATTGTGTTGTACATTTCATGAGGAGCATCGCTAAACGGACAGGTACGATGCTGTATGGATGGAAATCGCACGGTCTCAAAAAATCTCATAATTAGAAACTTCTTTAAAACCTAATTATACACCTTCGTCGAGTAGAAGATATTGAGAAGTCGTAATTCTCTATCAAACGACTAGGAGAAAGCACATTTTTGTTCATGGTTCCTATAACATATATTTGAATTCGCAGGGCCATCGAAAATCAATGGGAAAAATGTGTGCCACTTAAGTAGTCATTTTTTACCGAGTGCGTGTATTTTAAAGCTGACATCCTACCGAGTCCGAAATATTATAAGATTATGCCACAAGATAATCAGTATTATAACCGCGCCTAGGTAATCCTTCCTAATCAAGGACGCATTTCAGAATCTCAGCCAAGATTTCATGAGATCGGTCACTCACTGTATCTCTTCCCTCCCCCCCCAAGTGTGCCATTGGCCTGTCGGGGCCTAGTCGACTAACCGGTGAAGGCGCTGACTAGCTCATGGCATCAGACCTTCGACTTTCGCGCGCGCGCGTGACGCGCACACATGACAGCTCACTCGTCGGTGTCGACGTCTGCAGGCTTCACAATCAGAGCCCGATCCGATAGACGCCTTTAATGTGTGCAGATGTCTGAAAAGGTCTACACAGTGCCTGCATATGTATGGTAACAGCATAAGCATGAGTGTTGTGCGGTATTTCAGCTATTGTTGTCGCGTATGCCCATGCGACCGAATAGGCCCACGCCGTGACTGGACGTGCGGTTGCAGTGTAGATAAGGAAGGACTAATTGTCGGGTTTTCGGTTCCCTTATCGTACTGCGGTGGATTCTTAATTATCCAACCGTGCTGATATAGGGGGACATATAAAAAGCTAAACTGACACTCTTAAACTTGCATTTAAATACGGTTATAGGTTACCGGCCCAAATATTTGGGGGACAACATTTGCTAACTCTTGTCCATCGACAGAACAATCGAAGGCGTTAAAAGAAAGACTCGCGACTCCTCATTCATGCGCATTGATCCTTTAAGTAAGATACTTTGACGCCACATTAAAGTGTGCCGTCTAAGTGTAGCGATCTACTCGTTATCGTTTCCCATGCCAATCAGAAATCAGCAATTACGACTTATTTAAGAGTGACATTTTCCCCTGCCATTCATTTCCGGAGATGTTTTGTGTGGCGCATCACTCGGACAGAATTTTTTCCAAAAGATCGTCCAGTCTCCTTATATTTCTATGCCCGGGATACGCACCTTCGAATTTATCCGATTTAGTTGCACATGTAAACGCGACATCAATCAGAAAAGCCTGCTAACTGTCAAAAAATATACTCAGGCCAAAAGATGCACAGACTCTGAGAGAGGCAAAAAGAGTCCTTGGGTCTATTCCTAGGGTTAATTTTAGTGTTGAATAGTATTTTCGGAGGGCAAACTGCCCTGCATAAGTGGTCCAATGAACATGACCGCAGGTTGAGAATCTTCTCGAATTAATCTCGACCCACCAGTGAGCAATTTAAGATCAGAATCATCCCCAGTCGCAAGATATGTTGATAATAAATGTCAAGGAAGAACTAATTACTAGCTGTCGTTCTCATCCACTTTTCACTTTGGCAAGAGTGAACTGGAGGTTCTGGCCCCAATATATCACGAAACGAGATAGGATTCCCCTAGACGACTGTTTCTTCCGTTTGATAAGTCTCTGTTCATATCAACGCACTTGATACCATTGACATACTCATGGCTTCATCACTGCTGAAGTTAGCTGGTATCATTCTGGGAGTTATTTCAGAATTGTAATATAAATTTCTAGTTGGCCAAATCCGGATGTCGTAGAGATCTTAAAAGAAAGTGTTTCGGTAAATGTCATATTTCACTCATCACAAACGGTTGAGATAAGAACCCGCAAAATAAGTTTATTCCCCCTCTCCCCCCCCCCAGGTTCAAGTTTCCTCCCGCCCATACCAACCAGGAAGACAAGGAGAAGAAAAATAAGGTCATTTTATTGGGCCAGATTTTTAAAGTAGTCGTTATTTTTCAATGAGTCTGATGTTCATATAAACGAGAACCCGACCTTCGTTTACGGGACGCAGTTACTGGATTTTGTAGTTCATAAAAACAAATGTATTGGGTCGTTCCATCATTAGTTTCCAGTGTCGGCTGGCTCTGTAGGCAGTGTTACGACAGAAACGGAAAGTGCAAAGCTTTTTACTTTGTTCATGAATCTCAAGGTCCACATAGACGCTGGCCATATCGTTGGGAGGGAGATCGAACTCAAACTTCTCATCCCAAACTGGATTATGTGTGTCCTGGCGTACCGTTGTGAAACGTGCCTTGCCGTGCTTCTCTTTGAATTCCCCAACAACACCGAACCGATTGGCTAAATCACTGACATTTGACTGGAACTTCTTGTAGATCCGTCTCTTCTTTAGAAGTACACCCCAGATGGTCAGGGTTTCGCCCTGTTCATTGGCAATGTCAATACCCTTGCAAATCTAAAAGAGGAAAATACGTAGGATGGATGAACTCTGTGTTGGCATACGGTAGATGGACTAACTCATGAAATGTCAACCGGAATTCCGAAATGTGTTTTTGTTTCGAAAAGATTAATTAAGTAGGGTTGTAAAATCAATCAGCATGCAAAATAATTCTATAATAGTTCAGTTACCTCAGTATGCCGACTTTCGAAAGAAATTCCTTCCGGCTGCATGCAAAAACCATACTCTGTAAAAAATAACTACATAAGTAGCATGTATTCTTCTCGTTGATTTTCGATGCCCCTAAATGGCCAATTATATTTCATGGAAAACATGAATAAAAATATTCATTCTTTCGCTTATTCGGTAGAAAAGTACGTCTTTTTTCAATTTTATACTCGAAGGAAAGGTAATATTCGGTCTTCAGAAACTTTTCCAATTCCCAAATAATTTTGAACCCGACCTGCCGTTACACTTGCATTCAGGTTTTCCGATCAACAAGCCGTATATTTTCCGTATACGGAAAACCATATGTTTTTCTACGATATTAAGAGGAGGCCATAAGGAGTTCATAAAATTTAGCATTGGATTCGATCCATACCGTTAACTTTACTAGCCACATTGGTAAATGCAGAGACATGACGTTTTATGAACGGCCATTTCACGGTATTAAAAAGTCTCACAATTAGAAACTTTTGAAAACCGAATATTACCCATTCTTCAAGTATTAACTTGGAAGAAGACGTAATTTTATACCGAATGAGCAAAAAATGAATATTTTTACTTATGTTTTCCATGAAATATAATTGGCCATTTAGGGGCATCGAAAATCAATGAGAAGAATACATGCTACTTATGTAGTTATTTTTTACAGAGTATGGTTTTTGCATGCAGCCGGAAGGAAGTTCTTTCGAAAGCCGGCACCCTGAGGTAACTGAATTGTTATAGAATTATGTTGCACGATGATTGGTTTTACAATCCGACTTAATGAATCTTTTCGAAACGAAAACGCATTTCGGAATTTCGGTTGAAATTTCATGAGTTAGCCCACCTACTGTATTTTTTAAAAGTAATTGAAGGTGCATGTCGTGTTTTTCAAGGACCAAAGAAGGATCTTATCACGGGGAACGTGTTTTGGAACACGTCTTATGATAAAGAGCAATGGAACCAGACCGACACTGCCAGAAGACTTATTTCGCGCAGTTGTCTATTGACTAATTTCCTTCCAATGCGATGAAGAAATGACCGGTTTTTGTCCATCGAAAGGTGTTCATATGTAGAGGCACACAATGCATCCAAAATATTCAGTCCTGAAATGAAATCGCTAAATGTACTGCCAAATGTAAAAACTTACCTGAGTGGAGTTGCTGTCTGCTCCACTGGAGACTGATCTCGAGTTAATCTGCGTACTTGGCGCGTTGGCAATCTATTATGAATTTCTTAAGACAAAAGTGCATATAGACAGCTTTTCTTGCTTCCCCTCATTGGAAACTTTATGGAAAATCGGTATTTTTCCTTAGATTTGACCGGCCAAAGTGGCAGGGCTGATCCGGCCAGTATACAGCCGAAAAACTAACCGCCATAACCGGTTATTAGTCCTTTGGTGTGGGAAATGGCGTTTGGAGGTTTATTTTGATCTTCCTACTCCAATGCGAGTCTCAGTCGTTGACTATGGGTAAATCTAGTCGTAGATTTTCCACTGGCAGTATAAGTTACAAAAGTAATCGCAATCACTAAGGCAAGAAAGACCACAGTGGTCCTCAAACTCCATGCCATGCTAGTCCTTATCTTTGTTTCGCACCCCAACTCTGCAACTTTGATGGGACTCCGACTGGTCTTTAATAAAAATTATTTATTTACTTATTGAGGTGGGGCTTGTGATAGAGAGAGGGCTGGTCGCGAGTTCAGAAGTTTACGCCTCGAGTCGGAAAGCATGGCTGGGCGAGGTTTGGTTCTGCAGCCTTACTTGACTGATACCGCATGGTTGGGGTTTACTAAAACAGTTTTGCTTACCGTACCTAACTTAGCCACTCGCTGGATTAGGAGGGGGGAAGAGAGTGCAAGCAGAGCTCGAAGCGTGCGCAGGGAAGCGAGTGGAGGTGGCGTGTACACACTCCCCCCTCCACGACACAGCCACCCGCTGGATTAAAAAGATATGGGGGGACGCAATCACAATTGGGAGGCCGCTGACGGTACCGCCTGGTAATTCGCAGTGCATGGCCACTGTAGTGGAACCGACGGAATTCCACACCGTCGAAACAATTCCATCAAAAAGTCTACTTGGCCGCTTGTTGGATTAGGATCTTGAAGAGAACGCAAGCGGGGCTCGAACGACGCGGAGGGAAGCGTGTGTGAACTGATAACTGTAGTTGCCGAGGCTGGCGTATTAGCACTACTCCTCCCGTGGCACAGTCAGTCGCTAGATTGACATGGTAAGGAAGATGCAAATACGTGATGTTTGTAAAGTCGGCGTATTCGCATCTACCAGAATTTTTTTAGAAAGCTAACCATATGATATTATTCAAGTGGGGCTGCAGGACCAAACCTCACCCAAGGCTGACCCTATTCACAGACGTATAGACGTTGGCTCTAATGGTGGGTTTACGAGATTTAATATTTATCCAACCTCTGTTTTGGGACTGCGGTGAAGCACTTTTCTGGGAATCCCTGGGACTGGAATAGTTGTCGATCAACCAGTTGTAGTTTAGAGATTAAATATGCCAGCTTTCCGAGTATGTATGTGGTTAAATATTTGTAGTACTAGGAAAATTCCTTACTGAACGTGTCATTTGAATGTCAGGAGATCCTTCTTCTTGGAATATGGAGAAGAAAATTCGAACTGCCCACCAGGAATCACGCGTGCAAGGTAATTTAAAAACGCAGACGTATTTCAAAATTCAGCAGATTACAGAGCCCTCTAATTACCTCAGTGCTCTATGCTTTTAAGTGCTAACGTCAAGAATATGCGGATTCTTACAAAACGGCCACAAGAACTGAGCATTTTAGGAACATTTCCAGAAAAAGTATAACAGTAAACATATAGTGCCTTCTCACTTTGTCGTTAGAAAGACTGGACATCGAGTATTAGTGTGAATCGTTGCTGGTTCACGCTATATAACCCTGAAACCCCATGAAAGGACAGCAAGTGATAGGAAACATATTCAGGGACTTCGAGCGATAGTTCATGATGGAAAAAGATACGCGGATCTGTCAGTTTTTTGTCTTTCCTTCGGGGGGAATCTGCCTTCACAACCAGACTGAACTGACCCCTTCAGGGTAACTGGCTAACAAAATCCCACTGAAAGGGAACAGTGTGGAATAGACTCAGAAATAGAGAAACGTTCGACCCGCTGATAGGTGCGTTCTGACCAAATAGGTAACTTCATATGGAACAGCACCTCTTCAACCCAAACATCGGACGGTTTATCCATTTGTTTATCATGTCATACCCACAGCTGAAAACTGAATTGAGACAGCCATCAAGTGCTCTACAAATACGTCTGCAGCAGAACCTCTGTTGGATTCTACGAGCCTAAGCAGGAAGGAACGTAATCGTATGCATGTATGCCTGCCTGCCTAGTAAAATGCATCGTCATTGCAACCTACCTCTATGGTTAACTTCATCCGCTCTGGGGAGTACATCAGTCCAATTTCTATCTCGCCGTAGAGAAAACGCTCTCCCGGTATCCGGTTGATGTACTGCCAGCCTTCGATCCGCCGTATGAGGAAGGGTCGTTCTGCCTCCGGTACTGCCTCCTCTGATTCATCTCCTGACTCAGGCGGTGGAACCTTGGGTTGTTCCTGATATAAAGAAGATTGTTGAAAGTGGCACAGTGTGAACCTGGGCTTACCTATTCCACCCCCAATCTTCGCTTTTTACTATATACCGCCATCTTCGTGTACTTACGTAACTGGGTAGGGGTCGGTTACGCTGTCTTTGTCCCAAATGTGAGCGCAAGGCGGGCATTGCGAGTAAAGTAAGCCGACGAAGGATGCTGAAATCGTTAGTGTGAAAGTAGCTAAAGCTAAAACGCGAAAGTGTAATCTTATGCTTCGGTTTAGAATAAGGGTTAGTTTTAGGGTTAGGTTCAGGCCGAGAATTCGGTTTAGGGTTGGGGTTTGTGTTAAGTTTAAGAACTGCGGTTGGAGTTAGGGTTTGGATTGCGGTCTAGGTTTACGTTTAATGCTAGTTCTTGGGGTAAGGGTTGGTGTTACAGTTGGAGTCGGGTTACGTTTAGGGTTGCGGTTAAGGTTGAGCTAGGGTTGTGGTTAAGGTTAGTGTTAGGTTTTGGTTCAGGGTTAGAGATAAGCTTGGGGTTAGGGCTAGGGTTGATGGTAGGTTTAGGGTTAGGTTTGGTGTTAGGCTAAAGGTTAGATTTAAGTTTATATTTACGCTAAGGATTCAGGCCAGAGTTAAGGTTTGGATTGCGGTTTGGGTTTGCGTTTCGTGTTAAGGTTGGGGTTAGGGTTAGTTTTGGGGTTAGGATAGGGTCACGGGTAAAGTTAGGGTTATGGTTAAGGTTAGGATTAGGGTTGGGATTAAGGCGAGGGTTAGGATTTGGGTCAGGGTTAGGTCTAGGGTTTGTGATGGGTTTAGGGTTAGGGTTAGTTTTAAGTTTAGTGTTGTCGTTAGGTTTATAATTACGTTAAGGATTGGGTTTACTTTTGAGGTTACGGTTAGGTTTACCGTTAGGTTTGCAGTATTGCTGCCTCGCGTGTCCTCTCAGCCAGGTATTTTGTGGGGATTCCAGGCTTCCTTAAATCGCGCGGCATATTAGTCATACATCAGGTAGCCTTTTCCGTTTCAGCCTCGGCTACTTTCCCTTCTAACGATTTCAGCATACCCTTCGGCTTACCTCACTTGCAATGGCCACATTGCACTTACACTTGGGACCAGGACAACATAATCGATCCTTGCTCGTGACAGTAGTATAGGTGTTTCATAAAATGCTGACCAAAACTCCGAAATGTGGCATCGGCTCAAAAGAGTTGCAGTATTGATTATCATGCAACACCATTCAGCGATATTTGTGTTGCATCAGGATGCAAACTTTGAATGCGCGTTTTTCGATCGCCTGCAAAACCGCAGTCGTTGAAAATGACTTCTTAAGTAGTACGGTGTTGTCCCTTGATTTTCGGCGCATTCATTACTTGAAGCGTATTTTTAGTGAACGCGCAAAAACTAATCCTTTCTTGTACTAGTCTTGTGGATAATTTCATCTTCTGCAGCTTCCCTCCTCGAAGATGCAGTGCATTTCGACTTAAAGGAGTTTGTAATAATAAGAGTTTTCAAGGCCCGAAATGTCCATTCACACAGCATCACATCAGTCAAATTGTGTAACATAGCCCATACAAATTGCAAAATCTTGTAAGTCATAAGGCTATATCTTCTTAGTGACGTAGAAGAATTCATTATAATTTTAAAAGAAAAATGAACATCTTATAGTTTGAAAATCCTAAACGTACTGCAGCGACCGATAGAGCTTAAAACTGCTCACTGACTGGAAAACTTTTTAAACCAAAACTGCCTTTTTTCGGTAGAAATTTTAAGAGGACGTCAGCAACTACAAACCGAGTACAAGAAAAAACGTTTCATGAACATCTACTGTGATAGCGGACGACGTCTCGTTCGCCGTTTGTACTTTACGGAAAGGTCGCATCATTTTTCAATTAGTTTGTTTTAGTGAACAATTTTCAGACACTGGCGAAATGAACAGGTTGGCTTGTCGTCTCCTAGTTGGCTAATTTTGCTGAAGAAGCCCACAAATTGGTGCAATAAATGGTGGATACAAATAAACCGTTTTATGGAGACGTGAAGGTATCTCAACTTGACCTAGAGGACCTGCATAGAATACAGTGCTTATAATCCACCAAACCCACTTTAAAACAAAGGTTTTGTTTCAAAATATACGAGTTGTCTTGGACGTTTTCAAAAAAAATTACTCCTACCAGTCATAAGATGCCTCCGGATGGTTGATGTTCACTATCGCTCGGCTTAGCTCATCCATAAATTTCGTACCATACATTTGTTAACCCTTGGTTCTCCAGAAGTCTTCGAATAATTTGTTTATTCTTCTCAGTACAATGCTCAAAGAGAGCATTATCTATTGCAAAATATCTGTAATATTTAAACTCAAAGGAAGATAATTCACCTTACACGTTCCTTGAAAACTGATAAAGAAATAAGCCCTACTTATGAGCTCCTACTTCCGAGTGCGATCGTTGAAGGTGGAAGGAAATATACTCACTGTACAGCCAGCGTTCCGTGGTGTGTGAATTAACTCGATATTGCGCTTCGGGGTCATCGGTATTGTGGTTACCTTTTTAAGTATTTCTTGATTTAAAGGCAGACTAGATAGTTTTAGTCAATTCAGACGCAGACTGCAAGGACAGGGGCCTTAGTTACGTCGCAACCCCGCGTACCCAGGATTCACAGTTCTTTTTTGTACTACGGTTCGATCCCCGCATTGAACAATGCTCGCCGTGTGCCCCACAGCATGGTGGACCCGTAACGGCGACTTGCGCAGCGTCTTCCACACTCTCTCCTGTCACAAGCACCTGGTCGCAACGGCAGGACGGATTTAAGACGACTGGAGGCGGGCCCTGATGCTCATTTTTTGTAGTTTAGTGATGACGCGCGATAGATTGGCTGTTGAAGGCAATGGGGCCCGTGATTGGCGCGTGAGTTTGCTAAAAGTGATGCGGACTTACGACACGTCGACCTTATACACTATTTTTACAACCCTGCTCTTCACCGAAAAGGTGTAGCCTAGACCACTGTCGATTGGTGTGCAGGAAATGATTGACGAAGTCGAACTGCCCATCTTTTACATCATGCTTGCTCAGTAATTGCTGTCGAGTTGGTGAAAGCATGTTTGACAACGGAGGAGATGCTTCTGAAAGCCACCTAGTGAAGGCTTCAGCACTGTTGGTGATTCAACCCCCTTGCAGAAGCACGAGGAAAACGCAGGGAGTTGGTGAGACAGAGGCTTGTACTCATGGCTAGTAATGGAGTAAAAGTTTAATACTAGTCGTATTGCAGTCTTGGCAGGTGCGAAGACCCCACAGTAATTTCAAAGGACTTGGAAAGCTTAAGCCTGATAGGGAGTCCTAATTCTGGTTGAACAAAGATCAATTTCGCCCTGGTTTTTTCCATACCCTCAGACACTACTGTAATGCTACATTTGATCACTGCAACACTGCCAGAGGTCGTGTAATTACGTTTGAGTTTCTGTAGACGAGCTGTGCATCATGAAATCGACACAATATTTATATCCTGGTAAATGCGAACATTACCGAACCGTTCTGAACGTAGAGCCGCCTGGAGGAAACTTTAACTACAGGTTTCCCTAACAATTTGCTGTTCATTTATAAAGTTAAGACTGAAATTTTTCTAAAGCCAAGATCAAACCTCCGTTGGCTCCTTTTTCACGAGTTCCTTGATCTTCTCAAACTGCGTTTTCAACGATGCCGTGGAAATTTGCTGTTCGCGCACTGACACGCTGTCCATTAGGTCCGGATCCATCAGTTCCTCCCTGACAGCCTCGCTGTTGCAGATAGATGCCTGAAACCACCGGAAATAAAAGCCCATCAGATATGTCTACAAGTGCATTTGAGAAAGGTTCTAAGTCCCCTGCATTTAAGCACCCCATGTTCTACAAGAAAGCCCAGAAAGGTAACAAAAATTGGAGCATGAGATGCGTCCCGAGCTCTGTTCGTTTAAACCACCCTGACAAAGTTTCAGTTTTTCTAATTGTTAAAGAATTGAATTTCTAGTAGGATTTTCGGTGTACAAAGTTGTCCTCCTTGTTTTCGCTTTGTGTGAATAGGCCAAACGGTTTTTGGGCAAGATCTTTTTTTGTGGCCGTACCTGTTAGGGGTTTGGATTAGAGGTTACGGGTTGGGGTTAGGGCTAGGCTGTGGCGCGTCTTCTGCAAGTACGGCTGCGAAATAAGATCCGACCGGTTTCTGGATTTATCTGCGTAAAATAAAATGCTGTTTTAAACGCATCAGGTTAATTAGCTTAAACAGACATTTCTTCTAGACCTGCCCTGTCGATTTAACAATTTCTTGAAAACTGTCGTTCAGGCTGCAACAGGATTGTCTGGCGTTGCTAGGTTTGATAGGCCCATGGCACAGAACCTATTTTTTAGGGCAGTCGACTTGGGACACTGAAAGTTCGCAAGGCCTTCATCGATATCTCAAGGGTGCTCTGAAGCTCAGCGGAATCCATCGTGACTAAGAACATAACGGCAATTTTCCGGAAGAAAAATCCCCTTGCTGCACAAAATATTGTAACATTATGATTGCGTGCGCTAATTCTACTCGAATTTACTATTCACTGGCCGGCCCCCCAACATGTGATCTTATGAAAGCTTTTATAATGGTAGACGGACGCTCGCCAATCGTTTTTACGGAACTCACTCGTTCCGCTGTGCCTTACGGGCTCTCTCTCTCGAGCCCAACCACCAGCCGCACAACGGCTCAGGATATAGGCAGAATGTTATTACCGACAAAGACAAGTGAGACCGGAATGGCCATTTCAGGCTTATTAGCCGTCTTCAGCCAGTCACTCCCAATCCCGAGGTGTGGAACACCTGAGGCTCGATCCCGCGACCTGTAAGTTAGAAATCCAACGTCTCTAACCGCTGAGCCACAGGCCCGTTGTCTTGTCGGTTGCGATCGGGAATATACAATGGTAGAGGGGCGCTCACCGACCGTTTTACGGCGTTGGACTTCTAACCAACAGGCCGCGAGTTCGAGCCTCGGGTGTTCCACACTTCGGGGTTGGGTATGACTGGCTGACGACGGCTAAGAAGCCAGAAACGGCCATTCCAGTCTCCCTTGTCTTTGTCGGAAGGCTTTTATTTTTGTAACGTCTGTCGGCAAAATCATGTAGAATCTTCCTATCTTTAGTTAAGCGCAACCGTAATAATGTGAAAACGCAAAAACGTGTAGCTAATTCTCGTGAAACCGTTTTCGAATCTTTGTTGAAAATGTTGGTTGTTGGCTGACTGCGATGGTTGATTGTAAACTAATTTTTTATTTATATTCTACTTGTGCGGTTTTATTTACTCAATCAGTTGTATGGACAGGCCTGATTTGTTAATAAAACTCGAGTTTACTCTTTGGACATTTTCGCCATCTCTGCTTTTCTAAAAACGCACTTCTCACAAAAAACGTTATATTAATTTCCTTTTTGTGTCCACATTTTGCTTAAAATCGCTTATTAATAAATGGAAATGTTTGCGAATATGTTTCGGTCGATTTCCGGGTGGTGTGAGCTAGCAAGTCCACTGTATGTCAAGGTCACGGCCAAATTTAAAGTATAGCTTTTTTGTAACGTCTAAGGGAAATTTCCATATTCTAAAAGAAACTGGTTATTTCGAGAGGAATCGTTTTAGTTTAGCCGCACTATCAGAAGACGAGACTGTAAACAAATGGAATGGGCAATTCAGTTTGCAAAGTATGCCGATTCTGCAGGTCCAGATGATCCAGTCTTTTCGATTTCGCGTCAGCACAGTGAGAAATTTGAGCAGAATGCTTCCCAGAACGGGGATGAAAGTCCCGCGATGCGCTGACCTCTCATAGACTGATGTGTTCCAGAGTTGGAAATGCGAATATTTAACCCTCCCCCAACTGCAGGTGTCCTTGAGCCTGATTTGCGGGGTACCTATTCCATATCCTAACCCTAGCCCCAAGCCGAAACTTACCTCCAGTCTCCCCCCCCCCCGGCCCTATAATTCACCACAAGGCCACCCGTGCTACTCGGGGTGTTTCGTTTCGTGTCCTCTTCGATTTTTTTCAAATCGCAAAAATCCGTATGCCCAGTCTGTAGGGACGGAGGAGCCACCTTTTTTACTATTCTGCGTCGCACAAGGTAAGGGAACGGTGAACAGGCCAGATAAGAGCGAATGCAATTGCATTTAGATTCGGCCTCCTTTGTACCTTCTTTTTTATCATCCTACTCACGACTCCGTATGCATCAGGGAATTTCATTTGGTAACCCTGGGACTGCGATCTACAACATGGCGGTAATACCCATCTCCGGCCAGTTTCACGATGCATGATGTGCTTGGCTAATGAGGCGGGTCTCGTAGAGTGCTATTTCCTCCCTTTCTGGCGGCGCTCGACCACTTATGGAACCACAGCTGACTATTTACACCAGCATAGACCGGCTTGAATTAGAACTTGGCAGGTCTCTCATCTAACCAAAAATGGTGTGCAAATTCCCTTTGTCGCCTAGGGCAGATGCGAAGCGCAGTGCGTCAACTAACTCCTCGGTTGTCTTATCTATACTCTCCTCGCTTGGGGTATTTCAATGGCAGGGTGGTGCTTAGGTGTCTAGAAAACCTTCTACTCGTCCAACAAACGACAGTTCGACCGTCGTTGCCGACAGTGTCCCCCGTGTGCTCATCTGAAAGGCGGAGCAGGCACGACGAATTGCGCGTGAATTAGTTTAAAGTGATGATAGACTTGCGCAGCATCTACCACACTCTCTCTCTTCCCATCGCGAACTGGGACCCGGTGTCAGGACAGAGTTAAGAAGATCAGGGGGGACGCAAGTGGATAGCGGGGTCGAACCTGCACCTTGGCGCTCCACTACACACCCCCTGGTCCACACAGCAAATGACCAGGTGTTTGACCAACAACAAAAACACAGCAACAGGGGTCAGGAACATGAAGATGACTGGGCAGCCATGCTCACCACCTGCATACCCAGTGGGAGCGTACGCACATCCACCGGCAGGAAATTAGATGCCAGGGAACTGCCAGCGCATTCCAGGCCGCGATGACCATGGTTTGCTGATACTGACATAGCACACGGACCGGTTCTCGTTCGTTTAATAAACGCAAAAGGTGACAAAGACATGGATGTGTACGTTACCAATTCTTCGATTTCATCCTGCGCTCCACCATCTTCGTCAAGTGCTTTTTGGCCGGCATTGATCCACTCTTCCAGATATTCCTCAGTAATTTCTCTTTTCTCCGTTGGAAGCTGGGCTGCTGGGACTTCAGCGTTGAAGATGAGGGATTGAGAAAACGGGAAGAAAAAGTTTGATGAAAAACCTCTCAACATAGATGAAGTCAGTATGTGCGAAACAGATTGGAGGTCGATAAATAGGAACCCCTGATAGGCAGGCCGGAAGCAACCCCCATTAATCGGCTTTCACTCTAGCTTGGACAGCGGCCATTAGCAATCGGCCCCGGATTCGCAGCCGTCCCGTTCACAAGTACAGTAGATATGCTATATTATGAAATGTTAACCAACACTCTAAATGTGTTTTTAATCCAGAAAGATTACCTATGCCAGGTTGTAATGCTTATTATTGTCTTACCTAAACCCATAATATTATAGTCACGTCGCGATGGTGGCTTTCGAACGAGTTTCTTGTCAACCGTCTGTGTAAACTGCATTCCGCAGAGAGTGACCACTTAAATAGTAGGAATTTTTCCTCCTTGATTTTCGATTCCCTTATATATTTTATTGGAAGCATGCGCAAAGTATCCTTTTTTCAATCAATTGATAGAAAATTAGGTCTTCCTTAAATTTTATGCGCGAAGAAAGGGGATTTGTCGCTTTTAAAATTTTCTCAATTTCCGAATAACTTTGAACTCACCTGCAGTTACACTAACATTCAGAGTTTCCAAACCACAAGCTATTTACTTCACGCCTAATTAAAATCATATATTTCTATATGCTATTAGGAAGGAAACATATGGGACTCATAAAATTTCATAATGAATGCGAATCGCTTTTGTCCATTTTATAAGCAGCGTAAGTAAATTTGCCAATACGACGCTGTACGGCTGGAAATTTCGTCTGGAAATATCTCATGATTGCAAACTTTTTGAAAACCGAAAATGCTCTTTCTTCGCACATAAATTTTAAGAAGACCTGGCTTTCTATCATTTGCGTGAATGAAAGGATTTTTTGTGCGTGCTTTCAACGAAATACGTTTGAATTTTTAAAGCATCAAAAACCAATGGGAAAAATAAATGCTATTTAAGTGGCCATTTTCTGTTGACTGCAGTTTACGCAGGCGGTCGATAAATACCTCGCTCTAAAGCCGGCATTCTGACGTGACCGGGATATTTAAGCATTATGTGACAAGATAACTAACATGAAAACCCTACTTAAGCAATCTTTTCGAATTAGAAACGCATTTTAGGATTTCGGTTAACATAAGATGAGCTAGCATGTCTACTGTAGCTACTGTCGCTGCAATAGCAATTAAAATGACGATCCGCCGACCTTGTTTACATGTTTTACAATTTTAGCCTGCCCACTGAAGTTCGCCCAATATTCACGGCAGTTAAGCGTCCCTAGCAGGGTTAAATAGGCTAGACGGTTGGCCGCCACCGGGTGGACCTCTGCTGGATGCTCGACTGTCAATTAAATGTGGGCCATGCCCCAGGGGATTTGTCAAATACATCCGGCACCATCGAGTGACTAGGTTGTTTCACATGGAACTGTACACAGACGATTTTGCTCAGCTGGTTGGCAGCGGGCGCCCTATCAGGCAACTTTCTGCACAGCATCGTGCTGGCTTTCAGCATAGCACTTCTGCAAATCGATATAGGCTGCTTTTCCCGGGTTACTTCTCAGTTCGTGGGAAATCTAACTCCTACTTGGTACTTAGATGTTCGAATTGCTCTGGAAATGCCGGCGTACGGCCTGCCTGAGGTTCAGGACAACGTACAGTAGTTGGCCTACGTCGTAAAATTTGGACGGAAATTCTAAAAGGTACAGTAGGTGGGCTAACTCAAGAAATGTTAACCGAAATTGCGAAATGCGTTTTCGTTTCGAAAAGATTAATTAAGTAGGGTTGTAAAACTGATCATCCTGCAGCATAATTCTAAAAGGATTCAGTCACCACAGGATGCCGGCTTTTGAATGAACTTTTTTCAGTCGCATGCAAAAGCTATACTCTGTAAAAAATGACTACTTACTTAGCATGCATTTTTCTCATTTATTTTCGATGCCCTTAAAAAGTTGATCATATTTCATGGAAAAAATGTATAACAATATTCATTCTTCTACTCATTCGGTAGAAAATTGCGTCTTCCTCCAAATTTGTACTCGAAGGAGGGGTATAATTCGGTTTTCCAAAAACTTTTCCACCTCCCGAATAATTTTGAATACAAGTTGTCTTTACATTTTCATGCAGGATTTCCAAACTACCGGTCGAATATTTTTTGTGTACGGAAAATCATACATTCCTCTAAGGTATTAGGAAGAAACCATATGGGGTTAATAAAATTTAACAACGGACTTGAACCATATTGTAAACTTTACAAGCCATATTGGTAAATGCAAACACATGACATTTTATGAACGGCCATTTTGTGGCATTAAAAGTCTTATAATCAGACACTTTTTTAAAACCGACTTATGCCCTTTCTTCGAGCATAAATTTGGAGGAAGACGCAATTTTCTACCAAATGAGTAGAAGACTGAATATTTTATTCATTTTTTTCATGAAATATAATGAGATTGTTAAGGGCATCGAAAATCAATGATAAAAATGCATGCTAAGTAAGCAGTCGTTTTTTTTCAGAGTATAGTTTTTGTATTTGGCCGAAAAGAAATTCATTTAAAAGTCGGTATCCTGTGGTAAGCTAATTCTCATAGAATTATGCTGCATGATGATTGGTTCTACAACCCTGCTTAATTAATCTTTTCGAAATTAAAACACATTTCGCAATTTCGGTTGACAGTTCATGAGTTAGCCCATCCACTGTATTTCCGATCAGAATAGAGTACTTAGGCAGAGGTGTAATACTAGTCGTCATGCAACATAATCTCAGGGTGTTTCACTTACGCCAACATGGCGCCTTTTGAATGACCTTCCTTTCGGCCACCTTCGAAAACCACACTCGGTAAAAAATTACCTCTGATGTAACAGGAATTGCTTTAATTGATTTTCGATGTCTTTATAAATTCAAATGTATTTTATGGAAAGCCTGCATATAAACATTCTTCCTTATACTCATTTGGTGGGGTGTAGTGGTGTCAGCGGTGGGTTCACGTAATGGTCGTGGTGGTCGCTCACTTGCTTGCAGATGAGACTGCGCCTAGCGTCCACTTGCTGACACTCAACTCCCACCTGTGGCTCCACGTAGCTAGACTCTGCTCAGCGGCCACACGCCGGGCAATCGTCTCGACCGGCGGGCTAAACCAGGTGAGGGGGCCCTGTGCGCTGTGCCGTGTGCACAGGGTTTGAGGATTCCGCTGGATGGAAGGTCGGATGGAACCTTGCGTCGGCACCGTTGTGACGTGGTTCGTCTCTGCACGCCGCTGGACAGCCGGTGACGGGATGGATCTCCACATCGACATTGCCTTGACGCGCCCACCTACGCCGTCGGAGACCGCGGCTTACGGCGAATTCGAGTCGCTCTCCACTACAACCCGAAGTCGTGGTCCCATAGTGGAGTTTGGCCGTGCCAAAACGGCACATGGCAGCCCTATTCAGGGATGGCACTGCCAGCCCCCACGAGGGGAAGGGCCTAGAAAAGGTGGCCTAAACATTGCTGGGTACCAAGCCTTCTCCAGGCTAGCCAGGGCCGCAGACGTCTTATCATGGTCGAAACAATCAAAATCGAAACAACAACAATACCAACAACAACAACAACCATACTCATTCTCCTCATCCTACCTCTTCTTCCTCTTCCTCTGCCTATTCTTCTCCTTCGTCACCTTCTACTCCATCTACTTCCCGTCGCCCCACTCGTTGTCACCAGACTGGCAGGGTGAGCCCGCTCACTCTGGCAGCCTGGAATGTTCGTTCCCTTTTAGACAATCCGAAGAGCAACCGACCGGAACGGAGGACGGCGCTAGTGTCACGAGAACTGGCGCGCTACAAGGTGGACATCACCGCACTCAGCGAGACCCGATTCTCCGAACAAGGCCAACTGGAGGAGGTGGGTGCCGGCTACACCTTCTTCTGGAGCGGTCGACCCAGGTCAGAGCGACGGGACGCGGGTGTCGCCTTCGCCATTCGGAACGACATCGTGGGACGACTGCCCTGTTTGCCGCAGGGCATCAACGATCGCCTGATGAGCCTCCGCCTGCCTCTCTGGGGAGGCAAGTTCGCCACCATCATCAGCGCCTACGCTCCGACGATGACCAACCCCGACGCCGTCAGAGACAAATTCTACGAGGACCTGCACGCCCTCTTGGCGACTGTGTCGAAGGCGGACAAGTTGATTGTCCTTGGTGACTTCAATGCCCGCGTCGGCACAGACCATACTGCCTAGATAGGAGTGCTGGGTCCCCACGGTCTCCGCGGCTCAAACGACAATGGTCTGCTGCTTCTCCGCACCTGCGCAGAACACCGCCTCATCCTGACGAACACCTTCTTCTGTCTGCCGGAGCGAGAGAAGGCCACCTGGAGGCATCCTCGGTCGCGTCAGTGGCACCTGCTGGACTATGTCCTCGTCCGGAGGCGAGATCAGCGGGACGTGCTGGTGACGAAAGCGATCGCGGGTGCTGACGGGTGGACCGACCATCGCCTCGTCATCTCGAAGATGCGTATTCGCCTACAGCCTCGCAGGAGACCACAAGGTAAGCGACCCCCAGGTAAGCTGAATGTTGCCTTGTTGTCTTTGCCCGCTCACCATCTTCATTTCAGCAATGAGCTAGCTCAACGGCTAGACAACCTCCCCATCGCCGATGCCGCCGCTGCCGAGAACGCCTCCGTGGAGAACCGCTGGTGTCAACTGCGAGACACGGTCCAGTCGACGGCGCTCGCCGTCCTCGGTCGCGCTCCCCGCCAACACCAGGACTGGTTCGACGACAACGACGCCGCCATCAGAAATCTGCTAGCTGAGAAGAACCGCCTACACAAAGTCTACGTAGATCACCCCACTGATGCCACCAAAGCTGCCTTCTACCGCAGTCGCCGACAGCTTCAGCAACGACTGCGCGAGATGCAGGACGCCTGGACTGCTCGCAAAGCTGAGGAGATCCAAGGGTACGCGGACTGCAACGAATGGAAGAACTTCTTCTCTGCGATCAAAGCTGTCTACGGTCCGCCGACGAAGGGCACTGCTCCTCTCCTCAGCGCCGACGGCAAC